ACCCCCAACCCCCGTCCATCTACATCCGGACCCCTTCTTCTCCTTTTCACGGCCTTGCGCACAAACTTTCTTCGTTTCTCTCTCCGCCCGCACGTTTGTCGTCGGTGGGCGCAATGAACTCAAGTTCAAAATCATCATCTGTTGTAGTCATGTTATTGGCGTCTCCCCTCCGTACAGCAGGCAACCCGGCTCTGTACAATGCGACGGCCTTCTCTGCAACAGAAACAACACGGTCGAGCTTGAAGACAGAAAAACTTAAAACGGTGTCTCGGGAGCGGAGCGACGCAGCAATCTCTTTCTTGATAGTTGCAAGTTTTTATATTTGGTTCGCTGCCTTGCTGGTCTTTGCCGTCTGTTCGACTTCAGTTTTCAGTACCAGTTCCGCAAATGCAAGTTGCTGCAACATTACACCGAGGTCGATGCCATCCCTTCTCATTTGAAAAACTTTTGTTAGTGCCGTCTTGAAAGGAGGTGCGCTCCATGGATCTTTGCCGCTCCTTTTCCATGTTGTGTTCCCTTTCATCTCTGCCCGCATCCTGTTGCGAGTCGGAAGCTGGTGGTCCGTTTGGGCCGACCAGACCAGCGGCAGACCTTTTTCGGCCCAAAACCAATGTCTTAATTGCTAAGATATCTCACCGCGGACCGTTGTCATAATCCGATTGCATTCCCCGATCACTGCTCGGATTCCGTACGTTGCCACGTGCAACCGTAGTCCTTCCTCCACATCTTCTCCTATCGATTTCGCAGTTGTTTGCAGTGCCGTGAAAAAAATGTCCTTCGTTGGGTACAACGGGGCATCCTTTGCTGCAGAAAAAGCAACGAACGAAACAGTCTATCTTTCATTTTCTTTGTAAAACCCCCGGTTTGTTGCTCTGTTGGTTAGCTAGCATTGCCTCCACCGGTGCTGCTTCGCCTACGCAAATTGGTGCAATCTGGGAAAAAAATACAAAAATAACAACAAATTATTGATTTAGTAATAAGAAGACCCTCCGCGATACGTGTTCTATGTGTTGCAATCACAAACAAACATAAGACCGTCAACTCTCCTGCCATACCCTCCTCCGAATACACTTCGTAACACCTCTCATAAAGACCACTTCCCAACGGCCCCCTCCCCTTCCCCCCCTCCCTTTCCCCCCCTCCCCCCCGTAAACCTCGTCATTTCTGCGGCATGCAACAACGACTGTGCTGTGCATAAATAGTGGTGTCTTTATAAGGCGCCCTTTATCTTACCCTGTAGCGGTACATTCTCCCTCTCCACAATTTGTTTGTCGTTCGATGAAGTCTCCGGTGCGCCTCCCTTTTTCTCATCAGTTCCGCATTGTGCACTGTTCTCAACAGATGTAATCTCTCTTTCTTCGTCTTCACCGTTGCCTTCCTCTGCCTCTCCGCCCTCCTCGGATCTGTCCTCTGCCTCTGCCTCTTCTCCCTCCGGATCGCTCTCCTCTACATCGACATCATGGTGACCGTCACTGTTATCACCTTCTCCTCGTTCTTGCATTCTCTCGTGTTCTACTTCTTCTGACATTTCTTCCGCACAGTTTTCCTCTTCGTCTTCCTCCTGAGATGTGGTTCGTAAATCGTATGACCCTCTCAGGTCGATTGCTTCAGGACTCCTATCTTTTCTGTATATTATTATTTTCTTTGTCCTCAGTTGTTGACTCTGTGTTTTTTCTTCTCGTCTTTTCTTCTGTGGCGCTGTCGGAGGCTGCCTCTCGAGGTTGCCGTGTCTCTTCCGCAACAAGGGAGTTGCGGCAGGTAACTTGTTGTGTGCGAGCAGTTTCCCACTCTGCTTTTTCCTCGGCGGGACAGAGAGCACAACTTCTGTTCTACAGACTATGTTCGTCTCCTGTCTCTTGAATCGGGGAATATTCCTGATGGTATGTCTTTGCTTGACAGTCTTCTGGCCTTCCTTTGCTGTCCTCTCCCCCTTCTCTCTTCCCCCTGTGGACTTCAAGGTCTTGCACAGATCCTCGTACCTTGGCTTCGGAGCCATTCTCTTCACGCTTATTAAAAGTCTCTGACATGCATGAATTCACAAACACTCTTGTTAGACATGGAATGATTATATATTATACAACGACCATTTGTCATCCACCACCCCAGGCGAGATTTTCACACGCAGGGAGAGAGAGAGAGAGAGAGAGAGAGAGAGAGAGAGAGAGAGAGAGAGAGAGAGAGAGAGTTTTTGCCGTTACGACACGAAATACGATATTTTTTTCTTTATTACATCACGCATTCAGCCATCGACTGAGCGCAGAAGTTGGCTACTGCGTACCGATTGGCTTCTCTACGACGTGTGAGTTATGTATATTTGCACGCGGTTGTCAACTTCGTGTTTCCTGACCTCACGGTTTCTATCATGCCCTCGTATTTACAAACATCCACTCCGTGTTCCGTCTATGAGATCTCTGAAAACATTTTCTATGTCACATGCTGCTGCGGTGTTATATCATTTTGCCTCGACAGCACACTGCGCAAAGCGCTGTACCATTGACTGACGAAATATGTCGACCGTTTGGTCGTTAACCTCTATCCCGCTAACAACTTCTGTTATATATTTTGCGGTAATGTTCGTTTGCTTACTCATTTTTGCTAGCTTTCGCATCAATTAAGCTGCCACGCAACAAACGTAAACACCACAGTCCAACGTATTGGTCTGTTGCGAACATTCGGCGTACACTATCTTAGATTCAAGTAGATTTCTCCATGTCACCCACGACGTGTCCACTGTGTCGAGAGTCAACACTCCTGCTTTGTCTGCCTCGCTGAGGTATTCATACCACAAAAATGTGCGCAACGCCTTCCATTCATGTCGGCCGCTCTGTTGAAAGGAATCGATGACGATCGCAACATGTTGTTTCTAGCCATCGTTGTCCTCCGTGACTGCCAAAAACTGGCCGACATTCAGTAGCAAGAGCAATTTCCAATGGTTTTCGTGATTCACAGGGATGAGAACAACACTTGTTGTTCGCAGTTCATTGCTTATTCGACGCAGCTTTGGCGATGTACTCTTTATCCACCCCTGCCATCTCGCTTTCGCGACATAAACCTTCTGATTGGCGATGACTGCGGGGTGTCAGAAAGATGTGCAAACATGAAGTGTCATATTGTCTCCGTCTGAAAAATGTTCGTCATAGACGGACTGTAAGTACATATCGATCACGTTATCGTTCAGCCACTGCTTGACACCCAATCGCAATACGTCCCGTTTTGTTATCGATATGGCGTGTCTTCTTGATTTCCACGTGAACGGGAACAAGTGTTCCTCGTCCACCCTCTTGGGTCTCTTTCCAGCCTCTGCAGTCATACCCGTCGACCGATTGCCTCCTGCAATATTGAACAAAGGTTCATGCACCATCTGAGGATATTGGGCGTCATCTGTGGTCATCATCTGATACATTTCCGCATACAAAGGGTCCTCCAGTATCCTCTTCCATCGATTAACTGATCTCTCACTGCTCAATGGGAGCAACGGTTCGGTGACAGTTGATCCACATGAGTGTTCGTCATTCCTTGCTGTTTTTGAACTGTCCGTCGCTTTGGAGCCCGTGATACAACCGTTGCCATCTACCCCCTCGTGGATTTTGTCAAACTGGCTCATCTGAACAACCCTTATTCTTCGTCGTACAACAGATGTGACAACTGATGGCAGTGTCAGTCTAAATCGGCTTCTCAGCAATTCCTCAATACGTTTATTTTCCGGCTTGCTGTCTTGCCATTTCTTCCAGTGCAGATTGTTATTGTGGCGTTACCTCAACCTCAACCTTTCCTGTTCACATGGCAGTCACATGGCCATGAACCACATCTCATCAGTAACTTGGCAAGTATAGACATGGGTTGACTAGTGCGTGTCACCTCCCACTTTTTAAGTCCACGTTCGTCATACATGTGCACGCAGTAGTCAACTCTGAAGTTATCTTCGTCATACACATTGGTTTGATGCACCTTTCTCTACATTGCTGTGTAAGATGACACAAAAGCTATACAACAGTGGTCTGAAATGCAGGCTCCACGCTCGAAAAATCTACCGATGTTCGGACTCCATCTTTACCAAATGACTATTGTTGTTCAAACGCTTCTCTCTCTCTCTCTCTCTCTCTCTCTCTCTCTCTCTCTCTCTCTCTCTCTCTCTCTCTCTCTCTCTCT